GAGGAATGGTGAGATTGGGCAACCCTGCCTAACCCCACTGCTCGAATGGAACAATGGAGAGAGGTGGTTGTATGCCCTCACTCTGCCTGAGGTGTTTTTATACAGGGCTTTTAGGATGTTAATAAACTTCTCAGGCACACCCTTCTTCAATAGACAATCCCAGAGAACAGTCCTATCCAACGAATCGAAGGCAGCCCTGATGTCAAGAAACACTACGATTGTTGGCCTTTGAAAAGTATGGCGGTGTTCTAACATTTGGCGGAGGGTGAAGATATGATCAATACATCCTCGACCAGAACGAAACCCGACCTGCTCCTCGCGAGTCAATCTTTCTCGGGTTTTGAACAACCTACGAAGAATGACGGAAGCCAATAGCTTGGACGCAATCGGAAGTAAACTTATCCCCCGATAGTTGTTACAGGAACAATGTGAACCCTTTTTAAAGATAGGGACGACTATCGACTCATTCCATGACGTTGGTACACTCTCTAGATCCCAAACCTTTGTAAACAACGTCGTCAATTCCTTAGTCAAAAAGTCACCACCATCTTTAAAAAGAGCCGGAGGTAAGTCATCTGGGCCAGGTGATTTGTAACGCTTCAAGAGTTGGAGTTCCTTGCGGACTTCCTCCTCATTTGGTGAATCAGTCGTCACCGGCCATGGAGGGCAGGACAGTCTGACCGATGTTACCGGAGCGGCAGACCAGTTGAACTGCCCTTCGAAAAATTCTGCCCATCGTCCAAGACGTCGATGGATGTTAGTGATTGGCATCCCATCATCCTCGCAGATTGTTTCACTCACACCAGACTTCTTGCTGCCAGTGGCTCGGATGAGTTGGAAGAGCTTCCGGTAGTTACCAGATGCAGCTGCTGCTTCCAGCTCATTAGCACGCATCGACCACCAGGCTTCTCGGTCCTTACGCAAGCTTTGCCCGATTTCCTTACGTAAAAACCTTCGTTTATGGTCAAACTCACGGTTACCCGGAGTAGACCGACGGGCTTCAATGAGTTGTAAGGAACCAGAAGAAACCCAGTGCTTAAAAGCGGGACGTTTCGCAAACCCACAACTGACTGTTCCCGCCATTTTCATGGCGTCATGCAATTGCAACCAATGCTCATCTATACTTTTCGGTGGGGTGGTAGCTAGCCTAGAGGCTAGCTCGGTTCGATACTTACTTGCAACAGAAGTTGCAACCAGCTTGCTAACATCAATCCGTTGATGGCGTTCACTTCGTTGTCCACTGAAAAGTAAGGCAAGATTGGCGCAGACCAAGGCATGGTCAGAGTCCAGATAGGTACTCCAAAAGGAGCGGCAGTCTTGTACACAACCACGCCAGCGGTAGCTGATCGCGATGTGATCAATCTGAGTCCAGGCTTGAGATGCAGAGGGAGGACGCCAGGTGGCACATCGGCGATGACTGTGCCGAAAGTTAGTGCTAGCCAGAAACAGGTTGTGGTCTGCGCAAAGTTGCAGTAGACGGTCCCCGTTATCTGACCTGCGACCAACGAGTCCCCATCGGCCACCTAAACGACTCTCTTCTGTGCCTAGACGCCCGACCTGAGCATTCAAGTCTCCGGCTAGTACTACAATATCTGTCGAACGCACTTTCTGGAGAAGAACTGATAACTGGTGGTAAAACTCATCCTTGATTGCATCCGGGCTGCAATCTGTCGGGGCATAGGCGGAGATGACGAAAAGACATCTTTTCTCACGCCGATTTCTTCTCACTTTGATGGAACTTTCTAATCTAACAGCACATAACCGACTGTTAATGGGGATCCAATCGACTAGTGCTGCCTCAGCTCTAGCGCTTAGTGCGACACCAACGCCAGCAAAACCAGACGAAGATGCCACAGGGTCCCCGGATAAGCGCACGTAAAACAAGCTCTTCGAAGCGACAGATGGAGATCGAATTTGTAGTACTTCGCCAGAGTCCTGAATACGGGTCTCGGATAGACAACACACGTCGATATTAAGACTTTCCAAAGACATAGCCAGCCCTATCTGTTGTCCGACCTGCATAAATGTGCGAACGTTGAAGGCAGCCAGTTTGAATGATGCACGTGGTTTCAGAAAATCTGCTTCAGTCCTCGTATTCGGTGGTAACATACAATTTTCAACCGGACAGTGACTCGAGAACGTTTAGATACAGTCGGAATTCCACCAAAGACGAGCCGCTGTATAAGTATAAAAGAAGGTGAATAATGTGGAAAATAATAACAATAATGACAATAATAGTAGTAATAATAATATTAGTATTAATAATGACAATAATTGAAGTGATCATATATTGAATCAATTGATTGTTTTTCAAAGCGACAAAAGTAGTTTCCATAGACATAAACAGTTCATCATTTGTGTGTGGGCTGTGATACTGCCCGGGTGCCCAAACCGAAGCAGGTGGTTATCTTAGGGGGCCACTCCCCGAGCCTTTGACCTAAAGGTCTAACCCACAAGGCAGTGGAGCATCGTAAGGAGATGCAGTCCCATGGTAGCCGGTGACCAACGATTGGTTCATACGCCATTCGTTCCCGCAGGATACTGGAGCCCATGTGCACCATTGATTTGGAATCCGGTTAAAGCGCCGGACATTCGCTTCTCGTCCTCTCATTTTCGTAAACAACACCCCCGCCACGAGAAGGCAATGAGTAGGACTTCCCTGGCAGAGGCTATATACGCGTGGCCGTGTGAGAGTATTTCGAGAGGGAGAGCGGACTCTCCCCACTCTCGGCCGTACCAGGGCATTCAGGGGGCTAAGGTATCCCAACAATAATTTGCGTTGGAATTTTAAACGGCTGAATGTGCCAGCTCTACATGACTATCTACAACAGGTGGTTTGGGATGTTCACCCTCAACTCGATGTGGATGGTCACTGGGACTTCTTACTGCACACGCTCTTATGTGCTACAGACCATTCAGTTCCTCAAACGGTTCCCAAAAGCTGCAAGCCACCTACAGTAATCAAGAACCGTACCCTTCGCCTGCTAAGCCGCAAAAGGCACTGTTGGGCGGAATACAAACGAACTAATAACGATGGAGCGTATAGGCAATATAAACATATCAGGAACATATGCACGAAGGCTATAAGAGAAGACAGGCTTCAGTACCAAACAAAGCTTATGGACAAATTCGCCTCTAACCCTAGAAGCCTATTCCGTTATGCAGCCTCTCTTCGTCAAGCCAAAACAGGAGTTTCTCAACTGCTAGGTCTTAACGGCCCGACCAACAACGATGGCGACGCCGCTAACCTTCTGGCGGCACATTACTCCCAAACATTTCAACCGGCTGACATCAACTTTATTGACGACAGTTTCATCTGCAATTCCACAGGACTTTCTGAAGTGGACCTAAGCGCTGACTTGGTGTTCCGGAAACTGCAGCACTTAAGACTTGACACTTCTCCTGGCCCGGATATGGTTCATCCTGCCATACTGAGGGAGGCAGCCTCAATCCTGGCAACGCCGCTTAGCGTGATGTTTTCACACTCGCTTAGCCGAGGCAAACTACCGGAAAATTGGAAGTTGGCTCACATCACACCAATTTTCAAAGGTGGTCGACGCAATGAACCTTCAAGTTATCGGCCGGTGGCTCTTCTGTCATTACCTTCAAAACTCATGGAGTCCCTGATATGCGACGGTTTAAATGACTATCTACTGTCCTTAAATTTCTTATCACCCCAACAGCATGGTTTCAGGAAGGGTTACTCTTGCATAACCAACCTGCTGACTGCGGTGGACAAATGGACAAGCATCCTCGATTGCAAGGGAAAGGTTGATGTCATTTACCTTGATTTCTCAAAAGCTTTTGATAAGGTTAACCACTTGTGTCTTATCAACAAGCTCAAACGACTAGGTATCAAACCACCTCTAATCGATTGGCTTACTTCATACCCAAAAAATCGACACTTTAAGGTTAGGGTTAATTTCACTTTATCTCAGGCTATGGAATGTCCTAGTGGGGTCCCCCAAGGCTCAGTACTAGGGCCTCTTCTCTTCTTGATCTACATAAATGATCTTCCTCAACAGGTAACGTCAGACTTATTACTTTTTGCCGACGACGTGAAACTTTGGAGAGAGATACGCAACCAAGACGATACACAGGCACTTCAGGAGGATCTGACGCGACTTCAAAGTTGGGCAGACGATAACGGACTTACCTTTAACACTTCAAAGTGTAAAGTAGTCCATCTGCGACATGTCGCAAACTACAGTTACAACTTAGGAAACTCCTCTCTAGTAGTATCCCAAGTCGAAAAAGATTTAGGAGTCCTGGTGCCCCATGACTTAAAGTTTTACGCTAACTGTGACAAAAATGCCTTCCGAGCAAACCTTGCACTGGTAACGTTGAGGCGCATTTTTGGCCAGTTTGACGGAAGAACTTTCCACACAATCTTCAATAGTTTCATCCGTCCCCATTTAGAGTACGGAAACATAGTACTCCCCCCCCTCACTCCAAAAGGACAAGGTCACTTTGGAGCGTATCCAACGGCGAGCCACGAAATCAGTTCGAGGACTCAAATCTAAGCCTTACGAAGAACGCCTCTGTTCACTAGACCTTTACCCACTAGAATATAGGCGTCTTAGAGGTGATTTATTAATGGCTTATAGTATTCTTAACACTTCTGGACATCCTCTTAAACACCTACTTAAGCTTAGTTCGAATAATAACCTAAGGAGTAACACCCAGAAACTGGAAACACAACATAGCAAGACGGAATGTAGACACAACTTCTACTCCTTAAGAGTTGTCGAAAGCTGGAATTCGCTGCCGGCCGAGCTAGTCCAAGCGACTTCTCAGGAGTCCCTCAAAAGGCAACTTGACCTATTCTTAAGGACCAAGGACAGCATCACACTATGATTTACCAATTTCTTTTCCTCTTTTATTGTTAACATACCTAGGTTCCTGCCTGGAGGATTTGGTGATCCCCTGCTACTAGACACGGAAGCCTGTTAAGCGAAAGCTTCTTCTATTCCGTCCACAACCATTTGAACCATTTGGACCTTGAACCTGTGATGACCGCATTTTACAACTAGGTGCGTAATCAAGGGTGCATCAGAGTACTCCACAAGACGGAAAATATACGGTTAAGAAGCAAAAAAAATAGTGTAGAGTATGCGGATCAAGTACAGTTGTGTCAAATACCTTTCTCTGGTTTGATTTAGGTATGCATGATATATTGAAGCAGTATTTCGTCAATTCATCCAAGTAACGAATTGGTTTGGACCTCAGAGGTGTGTGAGTCCTATTTCTCATTAGTATTATGAGTGATTAATTGGTGTAAGGAAATATTGAAGTCACTTCCCCCGTGGTCTGATGTGGTTTAACGGATAAGCACGCGGTCTATCATTCAGGAGGGCAGAGGTTCGTGTGTGTGGGGGGCCTGCGTTTTTGTTCACCAGACCCACCTTCAATACGATGTTTGTTGCCTGTAAGTCGCTCACATATGAGAGAAAAAAATGACAAGAGGACAGATTGATATATCAAAGTGCCATATTGGGAAAGTATAAGTTCTTTGTTTACATTAATATTATTACTATAGGCTTAGGGTTTAGGGTTAGTTGAGGGTTAAGGGTTAGGGCTTAGGGTGAGGGTTAAGGTTAGGGTGAGGTGAGGGTTTAGGGTTAGGGTTAGTTGAGGGTTAGGGTTAGGTAAGGGTTTATGTTAGAGTTAGGTGAGGGTTAAGGTTAGGGTTAGGATGCTAACATACGAGTTTTTAAATCATGTCAAAGAAGAATATCCACTGTAATTTATTACTTTCTTTTAATATATTTTTACTTTATGCTGTCTTCTGATTGACTAAAAACTGAAATTGCTCAAACGCTTCTGATTGGCTCGTCCCTAAATTAGAGTCTCGCCGTCCTATCTGTTGTAACCTCTCATTAATCATCTACTCTCTAAAATCCGCTGTGAACCGATCGTATGTTAGCAGTGTAGCACGTTTTCTTAGCGTTTACCTAGAGGCAGGAGCAATCTGAAACACAACACAACAGTCAGGACTGGCAGATGCCACTCAAGTGAGAACACGGCGTGCGAGCACAACAGAGATATATTAGAAATTGAAATACGCGGTTTTTGTACAAAAAGAGAAGTCTGTTACAAAATAGTTTTACTCATAATCCAGCAGGTTTAGTTTGCGCAAGCTTTGTTCTTCTTCTTCTAATACGTTCACTTTCTGTTGTCCTGCAATAAGGAAAACAAACCTGTATTAATAAAGTTACACGTAATGACTTTCGATACTGTTACACTATCCCCTCTCTTCATGAGGCACTGTCCTCAGTGCCTGGTGCTGGACATGGGTATGCCACCCCTCCTTCTAGTGGCACTTCATAATGGCTGACGGCAGTCGGGGGGTTGATAAACGGGGTATCTAAGTGCACCGTTGTCTTGTCTGGCTTTAATTGATTGTAGTGTACTGTTATAACATCGTCTTGGGGTCGTTGGAGGTTACGCAAGACGAATGTAGTGGGAGACCGCATAAACACAACTTCGTAAGGTCCTTGCCAAGGGTGATGGAACTTGCTGCATGTCCCCGGTGGAGCCAAAGGGCGGTGTAGCCACACACGATCTCCGGGTTTATACACAAGTCCGTTCGTCTTGCGATCGTACACGTCCTTTTGGTGCTTGCTGGTATTTTGTAGGTTGATCTTCACTAAGCGATAGGCGTCGGCTAGGCGGCTGCGAAGATTACGGATGTATACTACATGATCTTGGACCTCGCATGGTAACAGCGGTATTTGCAGCTCAACGGGTAGGCGCAATTCATGCCCAAAAAGTAGGGTCGCCGATGAAAATCCTGTAGATCCGTGCACTGATGAGCGGTAAGCTAACAGACATTGTGGTATCACGTCATCCCAACATTCCGTCGATGACTTATTGATAAACGATTGAAGGAGAGCTTTGATAGTCCTGTTGGTTCTTTCCACTAAGCCGTTACCTTCTGGATGATATGCGGTAGTGTGTGTTTTCCGGATTCCCAATAATCGACATACCTGGGCGACGAGATGACTTTCAAAAGCTGAACCTTGGTCAGAATGGAGTGAGAGGGGAGCGCCGTACCGGGATACCCAATGATCAATGAAAGCCCGAGTGACTGTGAGGGCATCTTGTTGTGGTATAGGCACAGCTTCACACCATTTGCTGAAATAGTCTACCATAACCAGTAAATAACGGTTTCCGTTCTTTGACGTTGTAAGTGGCCCCATAATATCGATGCCAACTCGCTGATGCGGACCTTCCGTCGTCATTGGAACTAAGGGTGCGCGGGGTATTTGTCGGGGTGACTTGATAGCATAGTACGTGCTACAATTTTTGCAGAATTCTGCAACGTCTTCGTGGATGGATGGCCACCAAAACCTTCCGCAGATAGCATGTTCAGTCTTCCGTTTTCCTGAGTGCCCCAGTTCTCGGTGTGCCTGCTCCATAATATTCTGAACTTGTATACGTGGTACTATCAATAGTGGTTGTTTTGATTCACTGACTATAAACAGCGTGTCTTCATACAATCTTAGACTGCCCCACTTGGCACAAAGACGGCGCGTCGCCAAGGAATGATCCTTTAACTCTGTCATAGATGGTTTATTATTGCCATGTAGTTGCCTCTGATAAATAAATCGCAGATCTGGGTCTTCTGCTTGAAGAGACGGCCAGTCGATCTCGGGGGCTGTGCTAAGGACGGCACTAATGGTATCAGGAGAATAAGGTATACGAGATAGAGAATCAGCGTTTGTGTGTCGGCTTCCGGGTCGGTATTCACAGGTAAAATCAAACTCCTGCAACCTCTCCTGCCAGCGCGCTACCTGACCTTCTGGTTCACGGAACGAACGAAGCCACTGTAGTGCACGGTGGTCTGTGCGTACACGAAAGGGTCGTCCTAAGAGATAGTGACGAAAATGTTGCGAAAATTTTACCAAAGCCAGCATCTCTCGGCGCGTCGTAGAATACCTTGTCTCCCTCTTATCTAACCGCCGACTAGCGTAAGCAATGACCCGCTCCTGTCCATCTAGTGCTATTTGAGACAGGACTGCTCCAATAGCTGATGAACTAGCATCTGTATCGAGTATAAACTCACCCGCTTTAGCAGAAGTGTCCGGAAAAGCTAGTATGGGTGGAGCAGCAAGACACGACTTCAAAGTGCTAAATGCTTGTTGACATTTTGTGGTCCACAAAAATGTTCGTCCTTTGTGCGTCAGGCGATGTAGAGGTGCTGCCAGGGATGCAAAATCCCGTATGAAACGTCTATAATAAGAAGCGAGTCCCAGGAAGCTGCGAACATCCTCGGCAGATTTCGGTTGTGGCCAGTTAATAATGGCGCTCGTTTTTCCCTGATCTGTTGCTACTCCATCTTCTGTAATGCGATGCCCTAGAAAGAGCACTTCTTTTTGCAATAGTCGACATCTAGATGGTTTAACTTTTAGGTTATGCTGCTTAATTCGTTGTAGGACTGCCTTCAAATTGGCATTATGCTGTTCCGGCGTTCTGCCATACACAATAATATCGTCAAGGTAAATTAAACACTGGTGTGGTACGAGACCATGTAGAACTGTCTGCATTAATCGTTGGAAAGTGGCTGGGGCATTAGTTAGCCCAAACGGCATCACTTGAAATTCATATATACCATTGGGTACTGTGAATGCAGTCTTTTTTCTATCTTGAGGTCGGACTTCCACTTGCCAATACCCTGATGCTAAGTCTAAAGTCGAGAACCAACGAGCGCCTTTCATGGCATCTAATGTAGCGTCTATACGTGGAAGTGACCTTGAAATTGCTCAAACGCTT